TTTGCTATTGCTATCTATCTTCACAATGTTTAACCAATGACATGAGAGGTGTGGAATTACCAACATTGGAAAAGAATGTCTGTTATGCAATCTGTGAAACAAGGACATAGATTTGTCTTTGGTTCGAGGAAAGGCAGTTCAACAGAATCTGTGCATCTGTATGTAGACTAAAATAAGCATCCCAAAGATAACTTTTTAAACCATATGTTTTAATACCGGTGTTTCTCAAACGTCTCTTCCTTTCCCTCAGGAACATGAGCCGTGTAGACAAAGTGGTTGCATTGTGCATGTGTGTACCTGCTTTGCTTCCTCCATAAGTACTTATTGAGCTGAAGGCAGACATGCAGAGATTATACCGGTGGGCATTGATCAATCAGGTTTTCAGGACTGTGTTTGAAAAAAAAAAGGGATTTTCAAATGTTTGCAGAACACATAACTGCACTCTCCACCATCCCTCCTGAGCGCAGACACAACCTCAAAATACACATTAAATTGCTTCCCATGAGGACGATCAGAAAACAGAGAGAAAGCAATGTGTGAAAGTGGGATAACAATACAGGTGCAAGTGAATTCAAAACTAACAAAAATATGGTGTTGGAGGACAGTAAAGATAATTTAAAAAATAATCACACAGAAAATTTTACCAAAAAAAACATGAAAAGAGAAAAAAATAGTAAGAAAGAAAAGAAGAAGACAATATGGACATTTTGTTCAATGGGCTTGAGAGGATGTTACATTCCCCAAGACGGCTAGGGTAAGAGGGGAGTAATGATAAAATAAAACCCAGGGAAAAGAAGGAGGAAATAAGCTAAGTTTAAACAGAACTCTACAGCACAAGTTGAGAATTGAGAGCAGGGTTTATATGTAAATATGTATCTATGATTGTGCTACAGAAGGGTTTGGGTAATGTTTAGGTTGGAGGGCTGCAGTATAGATTCAGACTGGAACTCCTCTGCTGATGATATGAGGTCGAGAAGGAGGGAGGGGCTAGTAAAGGGGCAAATAGGACAGGGGTATTGTAATATTCCCCAAATCTGTGGTAGTTCTTACAATGATACAATAATAGAACAAATGATGGTAATGAAGTAAATATCCACAGAGAAAGAGGGGAAAAGAGAACAAGAATAGAGGAGAGAAAGAAAAGGTATAACATCAATACCGCCATGACCTTAACTACACACAATAATACAATATGAGGAATAATATGACTATGAAATATAATTATAGCAACAAGTAAAATGTTTAATTATGTATGTTGGTTGAATGATAAGAAGTTACAACAGCATATTTGGAAAAAATAAAAAAATGGAAATAGTACTTTGATCAAGAACAAATAAAACAATGTCACTAATTACATCAGCCCTTTTGCCATAAATCAGTGATAAGGGATAACGAATAAAATAGTCACTCAAAGAATAAAATAAACTCACTCTAATTACAATACTAAAAGTAAAAGTGAGACAAATTGTTATATTAATGATTATATTCACCACAACAGCCAAAATAACAAAAATAAAAGCAGCAATAGTAACAGTGAATGATTTGAAATGAATGACTCGAATAGAAGAAGCAGGAACTCCTGAAGAAATTATTAAATGCTTAAAAAAATGAAATAAACCCAGTTATTATGATCCTCTCCAACAGTGCAGATCATAATAAAAGCAGTTATGCAAGTGTGAGTAATATGTGTGTGTATTGAGATTGGTGCACAGTCACAAAGAGTTAATGGATGTAATCTGTTTGAATTAAGTCATCAATGATCAGAATGCAGATTGTTTTGAGCCTTGGCGGCTTGTTGTTTAAGCAAGGCAGAATGTTTTTACCATTGATTATTGTTTTGAAAAGCAGACTACTCCCCATAGCCCTAAACATGGACAAGAATGACTGTTTACATTTCCCCATTTGTTTTCTTTGCAGGCTAAAGGCATGGTATATATTAATCTTTTACAACCTCACATGAATCCCTGAAGCTCTGATTCATATTTGACATGTGTGACCGTTGGTTGTCCATTTTTTCATGTTAAATTGTGAATAGCATACTACATCAGTGTGTGTGTGTCTTAGGTTTATTCACCATCATGATGCGTAGGTCAAGTTTCATCCTGTGTCACTGTGTCAGATGCTGAGTACTCCTCCCCTTTCCCGGGCCTCCTCCTGTTGTGTCAGTCAAACTGGGGTAACTATTCCTTGGCCTATAGTTAAAGTAGCAGTCCCGTGACCAATGTCCCAGTCTTCCGCATTTGAAGCATCGGGTGTCTCCCAGGCCTGGGTCCCCTTCCTTGTTTGTGAAATCCGGCCCTGCCTTGTACTCTGCCGCTACCATAAAGCTGTTGTGACTCTGCACTGGCTTGAAGCACTCTTGTGAATGCCATCTTGATCACCTTTTCCATTTGTTCCCGCTTTTTCTCCTTGATTTCTCTCAGCGTATTTTCAGCATGTTCGGCATGTGCTCGAATAACGGTTAGTTTTTCAATTCTCCAAGTGATGCAGGTACGTTTCACCAAGTCTGCAATGTCAGAAGACATTCCAATCAGGAATGTTCTGCAAAGGAAGGATTTCCACGCAGCTACAGCTCGCAGGTTGTCTTTCCCTGACGGTTTCCTGTTCCTGCGAGTGGCTTCATTTAGCCACATGCTTTAAGCCTTCCAGTCAGCCTTAATTTTTGTCTGTTTTTTTCTATCTGTCCCCTTTCTCTCCTTATTATTTTTTTTTAATGAATTTTAAGCTGCTCCAGTTGTCTTAAGCTAAGGCTTCCCCGAGCAGGAAATCCAAATTCACACACCCACTTTTCAACTTGTTTTAAAGCATCTTCTCCATAATGGATTTTCATAAATAACATATTCGAAGAAGAATAATCAACCTTACAATCATCATTAATATATTTTTTGCTTAATTTGGAACCCATTTTAATGGTTTTCTTCCCTTCTTGATTATTTATTTATATTTTTTCTCACCTTTTGATTGTTAAATACTAGCAACACTCCAACTCAGGCCCCTTTAAACACTTCTAATATTAGGAATGCCTTTTTAAGTTGACTTGTCAGTTGTACTTATTAGTTTATTTCCCTTTAACACTCTTAATGTCTCTACAAGCCTACAAGCCTTTTTTAATCAACCTCAAACCCTTTAATTATCTGTCCTCAAATCCTTTAAGTTGTTGCAGTCAAACGACTATTAAATGTTAAAAACTGTTTTCCCCCTAATATCCAATAAGAAGCTAATTCATTAGTTATGAAGGTCAGCAATTTTCCATAATGATATCATTTAGTAAATTATTTCGGACTTCTCACCCTTTCTGGTTCAGGGATCGCAGCGGTGAGCGTGTCTGGTCTCAGGTCTCTGGCCTCGAGTCTCTGGTCTCGGGTCTCTGGTCCTCACCTCTATCCAGTTTTAAGTGCCTTAAAAGGTCAGAGAGCTTAATCAATAGCAGATAGCAGTTCTATGGGTTTAGCCTGCGGGGTTGACCCGAGGGGTAGGAGTAGATGGAGAGTGTCAGCCTCTAAGACACATGCTTTAACAACTTCCCTTTGCGTGGCAATTTTAATCAATGAATGTCAGAACAGCAAAATTAGCATCCATGAGTAACCCAGGTGTCAAAACACTAAGAGTAGTTTGTGTGGCACTGCCCTCTAGTGATGAAAAGTTTTAAAGGACTAAAGTAATGATGCGCTCTTCCATTTTTTATTATTTATTGACAAAGATGTGATTTATAAAAAGAAGCATTATGAAAATAATGTCTGAGCACTCAACAATCACTGTTTAAGTTAACTACCAATCAAATGGCTGACTATCAAAGATTATTAATAGTGAAAAATATTGTTAAGGAATAATGATGCCCCAGTTCTATTACATAGGTAAAGCCTTACATGTCTGTTTTAATACAAAAGTCTATAGACTATGTATAGCTGGATTAAAAACATTGGTGTCTGTTATTCAACACCAAATTTTCTATTGAATAGGGTCAAAGAAAGTTACTTTATCAAAGCAATACAATTTCCATTTCCTGAACAAATAAATGTAGTTTAATGCTAACAGTTGAATTTATTGGACATAGCCTATGTCATTTAGATTTTTTACCATAGGGTAGTTTGCCAATGGCATCTTTAGAGTTCCTTTCAAACTTGAAATGCCACCTCATACTTCTACTTCTACAGAAGCACAACAGAAAGCATCCTCTGTCAATGTGTCACCGTGCGGTACGCCAGCTGCACAGCAGAAAACTGCAAGGACTTGACTCGGATCGTAAGAACAGCGCAGAGGATCACAGGAGCTGTGCTTCCAGACCTTGATGCTGTGTATGCTGGCCGCCTACAAAAGGAGAGCAACTATAACATCAGCAAAGACACAACACACCCAGGAAACAGACTGTTTGTCCCCCCACCATCTGGAAAGAGGTATCGCACCATTACAACCAGGTCTAACAGACTGAGGAACAGCTTCTTCCCCCGAGCTGTAGTGTCCATCACCCCCCCCCACTTCCCCAGAGCTGCTAAGAACTGACTTGAAAAAATTTAGCACTACTGCACTTTAAACATGCTGCAATATGGTTACTCTGTGCAATAACTATTATTCCTGTAGTTATATTGTGTGCTGTTGTATGTGCCTAACCTGCTGTTTTAATATATTTTAATATATATTTTTTTTATCTTATTTTTTCTTATTTTTATCTCAGATGGCTGCTGGGCTGTTTGTCACCAACCAAATGTTGTTGTATCGCATACAATGACAATAAAGTGTCTTATCTTATCTTATCTTATCTTATCTTATCATAGGATTTTCCAACTTTGTTGTGCATGCTATTCTTTTAAATATAACATCTTGAATGACAATATAATTATGTATATACTTTTTTTTTATAGAATAAGAGGATAGTAGCAGGCTAAATGGATGAAATAAGTAGGTGTGTCTGGGCATGTTCTCTGACGTGTAAGGCCTAGAAACCTTTCTGATGATCTCATTGGCTCAATTTCCGTGCGTCATGACGTCCTGTTATTGTTGAAGGAGCGTAAGCACGTCATCGTCAGAGAGGGCGACCGGGTACTCGGCAGCATCTACGAAAGCGTCCGAAGGATGCTCGTGTTTAAGGTGAGATAAAGCGAAATGTAGAATAGTAAATACAAAGAGAATGCAGAACGACTTTCCAAACCTTCTCATACGCGTGTAGCTGAAGAGAATGACGCTGACAGGAAAATACAAACAGGTTAGTAGATGCTAAATCTGAAACGGACGGTAGCAACGCAGCTAGCTTACGTTAATTGACGTCAACGTGAACCATACATCAACAAATATGTGCGGATTTTGTTGATTTCTGTGAGGTTTGAATTCGAAACAGGCCTATAAACGTCCTTGCACTGATATAAAAAAAAGCAGACTGAAGAAGTATCACCTGTCTAAAGAGAACCCGTTTAGCTTGTTTACCTAACAAACCTAAACCTGCAAAACAAAACGACCCATGTACGAGAGTGGGTGATCATTACCAAACATCAATTCATTGACAACTGTATTGCACTAAGTTACATTTTTAAATCGTATAATGGCTTTTAATTTAACATATTATAGTACTTGGAAGATTATCTTTTTTTTTTAAAGGTGTATAAAGTGGCTGTTTAAAGGTTATGATGAGCATCGGGGCCTCCTCATAACCCCTGCAGGTTATGTGGCACAGACACTGGTGCTGCTCAGAGCTGCATTTGAAAACAGCTTTGTCAGAGGCTTTCACCTTTTGGCAGGGGTGTAGTGGTGCCTGAAGCAGTGGGTGTACTCTTCATTTTGTGCAGGGATTAATTGGAGGTGTCTTTTTGTGATCAATGTCAGGAGGGGTTTTTGTTTTTCCACTTCCACTGACAGAACAGGACAGTTTAGTTTCAAACAGCATTTCCTGTTACTGTGGAACTCAGGAATTCCTCTTGAAATTTGCAAAGGGATTTTGTTTTCCACCTGTTTTTTTCGATGCAATTGAATCAAACAATGGTTTTCTAAAAAGATATGGATGCATGACAACAGTGTTGGTGGATACAGGCTTTAAAATGACGCATACAACATGATACAATAATGCTTTACTAATGCTCGTAAGATGTGAGTGGCTGACTGTCATTGTGATCTTAAGCCATTCTATGTATACTCTGATTTAGTAGATGTATACAAAATAAACATTTGTCTGAAATGTAACACACAGTTGAAGATGTTTTCTTATGTTGCCCATTGATTGTGTACCAGTAAGAAAGTAGCATCTTGGGGCGCTGGTGGCTAAGTGGTTAGTGCGCACGCCCCATGTATGGAGGCTGTCGTTTCAAGCGGGCGGCCCGGGTTCACACCCCACCTGTGGCTTCTTTCCTGCATGTCATTCCCCACTCTCTCTCCCTGATTTCTGACTCTATCCACTGTCCTATCTCTCCATTAAAAAGGCACAAAAATCCCAAAAATAAATCTTAAAAAAAAGAAAGTAGCATCTTATGGGTGTCTGCACTAGTGTCTGTTTATCAAAGAAAGAAGGTCCATTGAATTTCACTTCCACTACAGAAGAAACTTGATGTTTACTGAATAAGGGGAAAACAGTGAAAATAAATGGTTTGTCAATCCACCAAAATGAGTTTGAAAATTAGACTCAGCAGTGTAAGAGTGTGCGTTTAGGGACTATACTGTATATTCAGTTTTGGGACTGAACAGGCTGAGAGAAATTTTACTAACGTTGATAATGCGCTAAGTTGCCACCCTTCACCTAACTGATACGTAATGATAAACACAAGCAAGATGAGAGTAGGAGGAGAAAACTACTGTTTGATTCAGAGTAACTTTACACAAAGTAATATCAGCATTTTATGGTCATTAATATGTGAAAATCCTCAAAAAACTTCAATTCAAAATATTTTATAAAGACTAAATTGTCTTCCTACTTTAATGCAGGCTTCTTTTCACTGCGACTCTACACATGGACTTAGTGGCATATTTCTTTTACACCATGACGATTACTTCTCCATCAATCGCATGCTGTTCTAACCACGAGGGTGATCTGAAGAGATTATGGATCAACTCTACTGTGATCCGCCATTTATCATTGGAGCTGTAGGCTGACAACACAGTTGTAACTGAGGAAGTCTTTGTCAGACTGCCCGGTCACATCAGATATAATACCCCCTTTAGAGGGACAAACAGAGGCAGTAACGCAATGTGAATTCACAGACTGGGACACCAGTATTACGCTAGAATTAGCACAATAGGGCTTCAGTTTCAGGTGAGATCCCCAATCTCTTCTGTTACACAACACAGAGACCTTTGATATTCGGTCCATTGGTTTGTCTAACTCTTCTCTAAAGAACTAAACTTTGACTCACCCTTAACAAGTACTCTCCTGCTTCTCTCCCCCAGCATGCGGTGACCCAGACTGAAGCCTGAATGTACAGTAGGTCTGCTGGCTGCAACAGCAGGGTAATAGCTTAGATGAAGGATGAAGAGCCCGGTGCACAGATGCAGGGATGTGGAGCATGGGCGTGGGCTAGCAGGGACCGGGTCAGGGACCACCTGCATACAGACCGAGCAGCGCATTCCCATCTCCAAAGACGTCATCACGTCGTCCTCTGCCTCTGCCATGTGGTTCATCAGGGATGCCTGCGGCATCGTGTGTGCTGTCATCACCTGGCTGCTGGTGTTTTATGCAGAGTTTGTGGTGCTTTTTGTGATGTTGCTGCCCTCCAAGAATCTGACATACAGCATTGTGAATGGGACCCTGTTCAACACTTTGGCCTTCCTCGCCTTTGCTTCACACCTTAGAGCAATGTGCACTGACCCTGTAAGTGAAAGAATTATTTATACATACAATAACTTCAATAAACATGCTGACAAGTTTATGTTTCTAGTCCTGAATAAGGGAACAAAGGACTTATAAATGTTTAATAATGCTTGTTAATGAGCTTCAGACTATGCTGAAGTTAGTGTGCTCTTGTTTCTTTATAGGGAGCCGTGCCAAAAGGAAATGCTACAAAGGAATACATTGAGAGCCTTCAGCTGAAACCAGGGCAGGTGGTCTACAAATGTCCCAAGTGCTGCAGCATCAAGCCTGACCGAGCACACCACTGCAGGTAGGGCAAACAGGATATGCAACTCACTGCTGCGTTGGCACTCCCAAACCTAATCCAACACTTACGACTGCAGTGTTTTGGTGCAGTGAAGAAGTCAACCTGTTTTAAGAAATACTGTACAATGGTTTATTTGTGAACAAGAAAGTTCCTCTTTTAATTTTGCCTTTTTAAAGCATTATTTTTTAATTTGATTTAGTAGGCTGTTGATTTTGTATTTTATTTATCTTGTTTATTACAAGCCTAACTTGCTGTATCTCTCACAGTGTTTGCAAACGCTGTATAAGGAAGATGGACCACCACTGCCCCTGGGTAAATAACTGTGTCGGGGAGAACAACCAAAAGTATTTTGTGCTTTTCACAGTAAGTTCCCTTTGAGAGTGAGTCTTTTATAATGTTGTTGATCAGATGTTTTCAGAGGCTAATGTGCCATTAGATATATTTTATACTAAGTCTGGGCTTTTAGTGGCTAATGTTCAAATAATAAACCCAAGGTTACAAAACCGACTATAAAAAAAAAATCTAAAGGAGGTGTGACGTGCAACACCATTGCTGTTGTGCAGTATGTGTGCAGATTGGATTGTTTACAGTTACTGGAAAGTGGTGGATGTTTATTTATTGGGTCTTCTTTCTCGTCCTTTTTTTTTTAACCTAGATGTACATTGCACTCATCTCTCTCCATTCTCTGGTCATGGTGGTCTTCCATTTCCTCAACTGCTTTGAAGACGATTGGACAAGTGAGTGTTCTCTTTAGAAAGTAACTCTGTTATTTCTAATCATCTTCCTGTGAAATATCTTCAATTGGGATGCTCTTTTTTATCAGCTGTCTAAAACAATATACATTGTTATCCCTTTTCTATATAAACTTAAAGGGTTGCACTCTAAAAGCAAACATTTTAAATCTTAAGTCAAGAAGACCCTGACACCGTGTCCTAACAGCATGCGAGCGTTGGCGACAAAATCAGCCTGATTCTATTGTTTCCTATCGGAGTGTCCTATCTGCCCGCAAGCGACGCAGCATGACGCGCCGTTTTTACCCCGACGCCCCGTTTCTACTTTCCTCTCTGTCGCTAGCGCCAACGTACAGGGGAACGAAGAAGAAGGGGGCTCTAAAAGGCACTCGCTTTGCTCACTCAACAGAGCTTGGTAGCTCATCTCTCAAAGTGGAGATAGAGGTGCATTGATAATAGTGACTGAAATGTTGAGCTCTGACTTGTGTCAGCGCCGGAAAATACACTTTTTTCCGCTCACTGTGAGCCGGTCACCAACGAGCTTCTGTGATTTGAGTGACTTTTGTCACCTTCAGTACAAAAGCACTAGATGTTATTGTCTTTGCAAGGGGGGGGGGGGATCCTGAAATTTACAGAGCATAGAATTCAATATTTAATGGATGCAGTGTGGACAGTGAGCGTGCGATCATGCCTGACGCGACATACAACGCTCGCGTGCTGTTAGGACACGGTGTAAGCCAGGGCTTGCATTGTGTCAATCAGATCTAAGGGTTTTAACTTTGTCATACACTATGCACAGTTCAGTGTTGGAGAAACAGCATGTGAGGCTTTAAGGAGAACGTCTGGAAGTGATCCCTTGGTGTTCATTATTCACAATGGTGTTAACAGAAGTTCAGTTATTCACTTAGTGGTCCTCCTCTCTGATCAAACTGATTGGAATAATATACTAGGTAAAAAAAGGTTCTTCTTCAGAGACACATAATATCAGGCAAGACTGTGAGCTAAGCCTCCTTTTTAGGAGTTTGGTCTGCTTTTATGAAAGCATCTCCCCCTGACCTTGTTCACAATGTTCTTTTTCTGTCAGCCAAATAATTTACAGAAGTCTACTCCTCTCCATGAAAAAAGACAAAGTCATTAAAGCCAGTTGAAAAAAGATTAAGCAATGTCTAATTAAAAATCCGTCTCTCAAGAGGTCTTCAGATCTGAGACTAGTGCTGAAACTTACTACTACTGAGAATGAACTATTTAGTTAAGTTACAATGCAATAACTTGAAGAACTATGTTAGTTTGAAAACAGCATGACATGTTTTATTATCTGGCTTACAGCAACTTTGTTGTGAAGGAGCAAATGGGACTCATACAGGCTGATATAAGTGTGGAGCTGAACTGTAAAAACAAAACAAATAGCTGAAGCGTCTATCTACAGTATGTAACCGCTACATTTGATTTATCTAACAAAATGCTTGGGAGGATTCAGCCTTTCAACAATTCCCCCTTGTCTTAGGGTCTGAAAACATGTGTTGGAGATTCAGTTAATGAATCCACTTTTCCTTGTCATATATATTTAATAAGTCCAACATTATGCTAACAACTGCTAATGCACATTTCAAGCCCCCATATGCAAAGCTTAAAAAAAATGATCCGTCTTCAATTTAAGTCAAGACTTTTGGCCTCCCCTGCTCAACAATGCAACCTAATCATATTGATGTTGAACACCCACTTGTCTTCCCCTGTTACTAAAGCACCTTCACTAGGTGACCAGTGGACCTAGCACTGCATTAAAGATTTACATCCTCACTGTAGTGCTGCTGTGTTCCCAGTGGGATTGTGGTAGTTTATCTGATGTTAGTATCTAGCAGTTCCTCATATGCCCCTTCATATATCTTCCTCCATTTCCCTCCATCCCCCAGAGTGCAGTACCTTCTCTCCTCCAGCTACAGTCATCCTCCTCATACTCCTGTGCTTTGAGGCTCTCCTCTTTCTCATCTTCACTTCTGTGATGTTCGGCACCCAAGTCCACTCCATCTGTACCGACGAGACCGTAAGTGATCCATGTATTAACCAACAGTCCTCTCTTCCTGACCTCTTATTTCCTGTTTCACTACTTCCTCCTGCTCTTCTCCCTGCTGCTTTTTTTTTTTACTTGAGCAAAGTTAACCCTCTTTTTCTAGTTCAAACTGTTAACAGCTATGGCATGTCTCTCGTTTTGATGACTGATGTTGAATAACATGGTACAAATTTCAAGCTGTGGTTAAATGTGAGTCACTGCGAAAAGAAAATAAACTTCTCTATTGAGTACTTTTTGTGTCACACACACAAAAGTGCCTGTTTGTGGTGAAAGTCAGTACTGCAGGCCAGACATCAAGCCTCTATGAGTCATGAAATAACTGAGTTTTAACTTTTTGTTGCAGCCAAAGAGGTAGAAGATATAGTTTGAAATTGCGAAGTGATGTATTTTAAAGCTGCAAATTAATTTTCATCAAATGATGAATTTGTCCATGTATCAGTGGGTGAAGGAATCAGTGTCCCCTCTTTGTAGTTTGGTGCCATCCTAAAATCACTCAGCCTGTTGATGTGCCAGTGTATTCATAGCTTTCACTTGACGTCACTCTCTTATGGAACCTCCCACTTGGAGGGCAAGAAAGGCTCTCTACCACTGTACGCTACTGAGACATTACTGGTCTCAGTTGCCCCCTACGTGTTTTTATCTGTTTTATTTTTTAATTTTTCAAATGAAATACAGGAGGACGTTTGTGGATTAATGCAGTTAGACCCTCCACGGCCCCTGTGACGGGAAACATAGGACATCTCCTCATCCTGACATTTAATATAGTGTTGACTAAATCTAAATATTCCTGCCTTTAACTTACATTAATGTTACCTAATTAGCACTCACCGATGCTTGAATGATGAGGAATTTTTTGCCCTTCACTTCTCAAACAGCAGCATTATCGACCCAGACCGATCAATAATACATAAAGCTGCCTGTATGTTTGTAGACTTTCATCCTACAGAGATGTAAGGAGAGGGATTATCCTCTAAATATCAGCAATACCACTGAAGTGATGCTCTCGTGTTACGGTTAAAAGCGTGACCATGTTAACTGATGACTTTTAGACAAAGTTGACTGAAAGTGTCCTAACAAATGCCTCTTTTTTTCCGGTTTTGTATTATCATAATGTCATTATTACTTATGAGATATGTTTTAATGAAAGCTAAACAAATAGGCTTTCGTTAGGACATGTAACGTACGACAACCAGACTCACTCGGCTGACAGTCATCAGTTAACCTGGTAACTCTTTTAACCGTAACACCGGCACGGACTTTGCCGTTTCTAGCGATATAAATAGTGTCCCGTGTGTTGTTAAAGTATCGCCAAGTGGCCCAAACTCAAAGTTTATCTTAATATCTTAGTTTTGCTTTGGTTGTCAGGAGATGTAAACGTGTCGTTTATAGTAGATGTTTAATTAAAAGCCCGCACTGCAGTTCCATCGGGTTTTCAACGGTGGCCGTTACTTTCCTGAGCTTTGTTTTGCCCTCCAGTCCTCCACGCTGGTGACGTCACTGAAAGCTATGAATTGGAGCTCACCAAACCGAACTTCTTTTTGTCTGCAACTCAGATACATGGGAGACTTTTGATTATTTAATCGAGGTAAGGGACTGTACAGCACACAGAGGGAAAGGCAACAGGACTAGAGGTCTTCACAGGTCAACCCAGACCGTTGAATCTGATAGCCTAATAGCGATCCACGCAGAAGGTCAAATGTTTTACTATGGTCAAAGGGGTCTGACTCAGGTGTCATTCTTTAACAGCAGATACCATTTCTACTCAAAATTATGGAGACCCATGTTCAGCGGTGATCATAATAGACACTTGTGAGTGCTGTGTGTAACATACCTATACAACCTACGTATATAATGTAGAAAATTACAGCCAATAGATTAATCAGTATGAAGGGATTATTAATGGTGATTACTGCTTTTTTCAGATCAATTCAGGAAGACAACTATTCTTGTTGTGATTTCAGAATATTGTTATCATCACGTTATCAGTTTTTTATCAGCAAGCACGCTCCAACTCCTTATTCAGCAATCCTCTGAGCACTGTCTGCGGCACATGTAGCAGAGAATCACTGCTCAGTAAACAGTGGTCCACACTAGAAAACATTGTTTACAATTTAATGTTTGTTAGTGTTAGATATTATTTAATTAAGTACACTCTCCATGTAGGAATTTTAGCTTTAAATGTAACTGACTTGTGTCCGACCACGCCCCTCTCTGGAAGGGCTGGGTGGCTTGGGCTTACTAGCACCATGCTCTATTGTTTAAGGTGAGAAGGCAGACTCAGAGGGCAGAACAAACACATAGCTGTGGGAGTGTCACCCACCTGGGGGAGGGGTTACTGCCCTTTGTGATGTCATGAAGGGAAAATCGGCCCGTTTGAGCACACATTTTCTGAAAAGTGGAGCAGGCAAAAGACGGAGAGGATGGACTTTTCTCATAATTGGGGGGTTTTCAGAAAGACTAGGGACACATATTAGTGTTTGTAAAACATGGTAGAATGTGTTTTGCATAATATTTAAACCCTCCCCCTGTCACTTGACTTCTGCTGCTCTCTTTGGCTTGTGGCAGCAACCACAGAAAGCTAATCCTTAAACACAATATAATTCTTAATAAATCTAATTGTAGTTGTGTTTTTTAAGGTCTTCAGTACTTTTCTTAATCACATTGAATGTTAAATTAAATCAATATGCATACTGTTAAACACATGGCATGGATATTTAAGTATTGAGACTTTTGACAACATAATTGATATGATGCTCAAAAATCCTGTCAACTTTTATGATCACCCTTACTTTTAAGCTGGCAGACTTTTAAAAAAAAATAGATTTCTATCTCTGATGTCAGAATACATGGGTCAGAGTTAGCTTACTGCTGAGCACATTTTCCTGTCAGGTTTGTTCTTATAAACCATATACAGTGGGTAGGAGGGCATACACCAGTTTTAGGCCCCAGTTTGTGTTTAGGCAAGGCTTATAAAATAGATACCAGAACTGTCACAAGTCTCTGGTCTTGCTCCTTCCAGAAATACTCTGGGTGGGGTCCATATCTTGAAGGAAAGATTTCCTATGAATCACAGAACAGATTTCAAGGATCTCTAAATAAATGATGAAGTTAATCATTTAACAAGGATGCATTCATTGGGTTCAGAGAATTCTTCCAAGGGAGACATAGAATTCCAAGAATATCAGAAGCACAAAGCACAGACAATAAACCAGCCAAAGGATTTTGTTGGTCATTTAAACATTCAAATTATCACATGCAACATTTACACACAGAAAGCTTGGCCTGAGATTTCATGAAAGACGTTAAAACATTCATTGTCACTAAGTTTGAAAAGAATAGGGGTAGAAACCCCTATTTCCATTAAGTTCAAACTTTTGGGGGGAAAAGTGCTCAAAGTCTGATGACCAAGATGAGGTGGGGAACTGTGCCCAGACTTGCTTATTGGTATATAAGAGAGACGTAGTAGGATACAGGTCTGTCATTTGATCTGTGAAGACCTCTTAATAGGGCCGAAAATGCTACATAATGCCTGTAGAGAAATCACCTTTTTCACACTGGGTTTGTGAACCAAATCAGTTTCCAAAAATAGTTTTTTTTCTTTTGTTAGTGGGTTGATTAAAAAAATAGGATTGTGATCACTGACTGACTGATTGACAAAAGCCAACCAACTGAAGTGTGGTTGTCTCTCGTTTTCAGGGCATAGAGCAGTTGAAAAAGGAAGAGAGAAGATGGGCTAAAAAAACTAAGTGGATGAACATGAGGGCGGTATTTGGACACCCTTTCTCCTTTTTGTGGTTTAGTCCCTTCTCCACCCCTGACCATGGGAAGGCTGAGACCTATCAGTATGTGGTGTGAGAGCTCAGCGCAGGGAGACGAGGCGGCTGTATCAGAACCAGAGTGGGAAGCCCTGCTCAGACCCACAGAGCCGAGCTATGGCAGTCTGTTGCTCCAAATGATGAACATGATTTATCTCCCACGCTAGCTGTGGACCGCCTTCCATCTGCTTTTTGTGTTGCCAACTAAGTGCGCTATACGTTTATTCTTGTGTTGCCTTGGGTGAGTTGAGTTGCAGAGAAAAAGAAAACACTTTTTAGTTTGTGAATCCTGTTTTCAAAGACACTGTGATGAATCTGTTTTTTTTTTTTTCTGAGCCGTTTCTATTTCTGTTGTTGTATCAGAAGCCTTCTCTTTTCCTGCTTGGTTTACTCTTTTCTCTGTTGAAGTTTCAAGTTCAGCTGAATTCCACCAAAAGACGTTTTTTTTCACTTATATCCTGCGGTGTCCGGCCATGAGGATGGTTTTAGTTTGGGGTCGAGGTTCTGAGCCCACTGCATTTTTTTTTCTTGATTAATCTATTCATCTATAAAATGTCAAAGACCAGTGCCACCATGTTTTAAGAACCTAAGTAATCAATCGAACAGTTTTTTGTTTATATAGGGCAAAATCAAAGTAAAAGTTAGTCTAGACCATACTCTTTTACATACAACCAATACAGACTTATGACTATATGCCAGTAATAATGCTAAAACTATGTATATATGCATTCAAATAAATTCCTTTAACCTTAAGGATTAGCATGAACACCCTAAAAATCAAAATATAAGAACAAATTATATAAATTGTAGCAGTTGGAATCAAGTAGATCAATCAAGATAAATGGGAAGTTAATGCATATCAATAAAAAGAGAAAGAAGGGGGGGCAGCCTTAACTATAAGGTTTAGTCCAAAGGGAATATTTTAAGCCTACACAAATAATGACATCAAAGCAAATTATTGACAGTTTGAATTTCCATCATAAAATCAAGGTAACATAAGGTACAAGAATGTACATACAGTATTTCAAACCAAAACTTTTTTTACTATATGATCTTTGGTTCGTCCCGAGTAACCCACACCTCATCCTTTTTAGATGTCAGTGTTTAAAACATGAAAGCCAACCAAGATCCCATTTATATCCAGTAGTTACTGTAAACAAATCTATCAGCATGGCTACATGACACCAAGATGTGAGTGAAAAAAATGGGTTTCTGGGTAATTTAGATGAATTGACTATTTAAACTTCCTTCTTGTCACACAAAAGGATGCTAAAAATATAGCCTACAAAGCAATGCAGAAGTGCCTTAAACCTGCATTCTTTCTAATGACCAGTAGTGGGCGACTCCACTGATTACTGAAATTATTTAGAAGTCTGAAAATAATGAAACTGTATACATGGTTAACACTGGCTCCAAAAAACAAGAGGATCACATACAAATGTGAATGTGACATATTCATCCTGAGACTCCAAAACATTACTTGGTGTGCTGATAAGTGATGACAAGGTGGGGGGGTCCACTTAACTATTCTATGGTCTGACAGTACTCTGTAGGAGCTCCTGATGTCGACTGTAACCCAGAACTTCCACCAGATATGTGTGCGTTGTGCGTCAGCTCCGCTCTGGTACGCTCCCTCATTCGTCTACACCCACCGGTAATGACATAAGGTCATTGTTCCCAACCGTTAGTGGACATAAAAAATAACCGTAAAAATGTAGTGTTTTATTCAGAAAATAAACCGGATGTCTTAATGATGTTTCGGTGTCTGACTTCCTGTCCTGTTCGATCTGCACTGTGGTAATTAGATGTGCCATGCTCTGGCATCCGGAAAAAATAAAAGCTTTGCATATCTGCTGCAAAGGGGTTTGTACTGCCAGAGCTGAAACCAAGTGCAGCAAGGCCAGTGGAAGCACGACTAAAGTCGAACACATATCTGGTGGAATTTAGGAGCAAGAGGTTTAATCAGATCCCTCTAAAATGGATTCGATTAATTTCGAGGTACTTTCTGGGTTCTAAAATCTCTAGTTGGGGAATTTGTGCAAACAGGTTCTTTTGGGGCTAGCTATTTTAAATGGTGCCAAATACAGCTCATAAAGGAACAGTTTTCCAGCATAGCTGTGGATATTTGACAAGTTGTGATTGATAAATTATTTTATTAAACCATGTTAGGAAAAATGGTTTAAGATTTACTAATCAAAATAATATCTTCTGATACAAATGTGATAGCTACTTCCCAGTGTAATACAAGTGCTCAATTTTTTCATCATTAAGAATCTGCATCACATGAAACTCATCGGGATCCTTTTACAAAGTATCACTACTTGTAATTCAAAAAGGAAAGTGGTCCCTTAACAGGGCGTCGTATTTGAGCACAACAGCTGAAGTCTTCTTCTGGGGTTACTGCAAACGAGGTAAAGAAAGGGAGTTTAAGTGTTTATTGACTTTAATAACTACAATACAGTTTGCACAACGGTGAGCGTCCTCTCTGATTCCTCTCTGATACATGCTTGACACAAACAAAGCTTTTGTTGAAGAGTAGTGATGTTGATTTTTTTTTTCTTAACTCAAACAAGACAGTACGATTTTGTTTGCTTAAAAACTGTCCTAGGCCATAGCAAGGTTGAATTTTGATTTTGGATTCTGTTGGATAGAGCAGAGTAGGTTATATTCTGGAAAAACTTGACCAACTACCAAGGTGCATGGAGAGAGAAAGACTTGAAGAGGTCGAAAAGCTCCAGCAACACTTGTATTATGAAGAGCAACCATATTAGACCAATCAAGTTAATAAAGATGATCTTCATACTACGAGTGTTGCTGGAGATTTATGACCTCTTGGAAAGTTTAAAGTAATGCTTATTTCAGGGCTTAATGAGGACAAATGGTTATGGTCAGTCTAAATCTCAGTCGCAGCTTGTTTGTCAGCAGTAAAACATGATCGTTAAAATGATGTGGATAGGGTTACCAGACTGTCAATCACAGCACTCTAAAAAGTTCAACCTCCCTTTTTTGATGTAAGGTTTGGCTGCCAACACAGTCACAAACACTCCTCGTTTGTGTTTGGTGCATGAACAGTAGACCGCAAAAGAGCCTCTGTGGTTTAAACCCATGCTGTGTTTTAATGTTTTGCATTTTGGATTTAATGACCCCCACAATTACGTGACTAATTTGGTAAGCTTTGAAATGAAAATCATCAAAAAAAGGGACTCTGGCTTTGCTTTAATATGGTATTTGCTGGTTAAAACCAAATGGATACAGAGAAGCACCATATGAAATGTAAACCTGTACAGCGGGACATTAGCTGGACTCTATTTCTGGACTTTTGCAATTCATATCAAAGTACATAATTTAGTATTCCTCATTCATATGAGTATTTAAAAGGTTCAGTTGCACTTTATATTTATCATTTAAGATTTGTTCTGCTCTGTTCTAATGTTTGCATTTTATTCTTCCTTTCTTTGTTTACATAATATTGTATGTATCTTTGGTATCTGAATGCATTGTACAGGTGAAGGCTAGTTTAGTAATGTATGTGAATCCCTGCTGGTATGATGGTGCCAAGTCCTGCTGGTGAGAGTGATGGAGAAAAGATGATTTGTTTTTTTACTGAAATTTAAATTCTTTCTAAATATTCTGAAGATCTTTCAGCACATGCGCAGAGAATAAATACTTCTCAGTTGCGATGCAAAGAGTGCGTTTGCTTGCTTTTCTGACTGTATGAATGTCCTTCAAGTGAGGAGGGCAGGTTGCTTCCCAATAATATGTTTGTGCCTTTTGTTTTGATCAAACGATGTTAAACCAGAGGTTTCCACTTCTCCTGCATTCAGTCCTCTCACACCCTGTATTGTTGAACTCCCCCTCTGTCCTTGTCTTTCATTCTGTCCCCACTGTACTGTCTGTAATCTACCTCTTTCCCATTCAATGTTCTCTCCACACTCATGCATTTGCTTTGGTTGATAACTTGCTCTGCCAAACGCTTTCTGAAGCAGACAACTCTTTGTAGACTTAAGGAGAGGTAAGCTGCAATAAAGGTCACTATGCTGTCCAGTTAAGCTTAACACATCACAAGCATGCAGATTTCAACCTGAAGACCAAAGTGCGCTACATGTCTTATTTTATTTTTTTGCTCTTTCTGTTTTCAACCAAACATAATGAAAAACTGAGTGAGATCTGGTGCATGCACTGTGACCATAAGACATCTTAGCTTCTTCCACAGGCTTTTTTTTTCTTTTATATTTAGAGTGCATGTGAATCATTTCATACAGTGTTTTATTGCATTTTGGGCAGGTTTCTCAGTACAAAGTGAAAAAAAAGATTTAAAGGATAGTCTTAAAATATTTAAATTCAACCCTTAAAGGCAGGTTGGTAATTTTCTCCACATACACTTTTTAAGATTTTGGTTGAAATTGTCTTTAGGTCCTGACAGAAATGAATTTGTTCTTAACCTAAATACATCGCAGCCAGAGACGTTGTTACTATAACAAACCGTGTAAGAAAGGGACCTTGAGAAGCGGTGACGGTATACCTGCTGATAATGATCAGGTCAAAGGTACTCACTGACTTTATTTCACTCTGCTGAAGCCTCACATCAGCTAATGACAATCTTTTCAGTATATTTCTGAGGTGCAAGGACAGTGTGACTCAGGAGCTACATCCAGATCAGCGTATGCTATTCAGATGTGCTCCGATCATCTGGGCCAAACATTTTTCACTCGGCACATTTGTGATCAGGACATTGTCAGTGAGGCATCATTTCATGACCTTTTTCCAACTCCAGTGGACAATTCTTGTGATGCTGCAGTGCTGAGGTTGCATCAGAAACAAGTTTAAATACTAGCATTAATTTTACACATTTTGAAAAATCTTGTAAAATCTCATGTTTGGCTATTTGGGCATCCTTTCAACTTGTTTATTTCAGTTAAATTACTGCAAAATATGTGTTTGGTTTATGGATGTACCCATCATGACTGCACCTGCTGGCTTAAACATCTTCTGACTGCAGATTGAGATTCTCTCATGAGATGCAATGACAGCTAGTGGAACGCAGCAGATTCAGTGTAGGGAGAGAAGGCATTGGGGGAACGGTACAGCTGGGTAACTTCTAACAGCTGGTTAGTCATCACTACGTCTAACAGTCTTCTCTGCAGGGAGAAGCCAACAACAATCCTGCCTCTGATGTACAGACTTTGACCAATAAATCAGTGTATGAGAAACACTTAAAAAGCTAACAGACCATGCATGGTGGCTGCAGGTCCTTATACCTGCTAGTGAAGTGGGAAATGTAAATACAAATATGATAGACTTTCAAAAAACATGAATACTGGAGCACAGACTTCTTACGTGGCCAGTGAGTGCATTAAACCACAAAAAAAAGGAAACTAGGAACTTAAGCACCAAGACGCTCTAGCGGTTAAATGACTGAATTTTCTAAGATGGCATTAAGAAGACGGCTGGCAGCATTCACCTGTCAATCAAAGCAGACATGGATCACTTTAAGCCCTCGTCTGAACATCTTAAGTCCAATTTGTTTTGAGAAACAGGCCCAAAGAGTTAAATCATACTGTGTTGTCGCAGTTCAAGAAATCATCGTCGTCAGTGTTGTGATGAAAAGTGCATGAAGGAAACGACAGACATCCAGTCCTGTTTGGCTCAGCATCTTTCACTACAGACTGTTTTTTTTTTTAATTGTCTTCCTCAGGGAATCGAGCGTTTGAAGGGAGAGACGGGGAAGTGGGGGAAGGTGCCATGTTGGGAGGCCATGCGGATGGCGTTCGGTGGCCCCTTCTCTCTGTCCTGGTGCAGCCCCTTCGCAGGGCTGAGCTGCAAGACAACCCCCACGGAGCATGTCCCTGTCCCACAGGGGGAGATCATCGAGGAGGACGTCATAGAGATACCACTAGACTAGCCTTGTCTGTCTTACAAAACACAAAGGAACTCTTTGGAGTTTTTAGACTTGTGACTTTATTAGGGCTTTCCAACTAGTGATAAACCTCGTGCAATTCATATATTTATTTTTTTATTTTCATCTCAAAGACTTTTCTATGTGTAAGTATGGCCTCTTATTCTCAGTGCAGCCATAAGCAGAGTTAGGGGTACAGCTGGTCCGATATGAGATTTTTTAAGACCAATACTGACTTCAGAATGAAGAAATAGCAGAATGTGATTATGGCAGCTGATATATTGAATTTTTAGCTGTAATGATAATTGAACTTTTCCATTTGGATAGTGAACAGATATGACTATGCAAAGGTGCTCAGGTGGCTTCCTTCTTATAAATAATATTATTAAGAAAACATGACTTTATTATACATTGTCCATCACTTCTAGAGAGACATGTGCAGACAGTACTGAGAGTAGTTATAAACGTTGTGAACCTTTGTGACTTTTCTCAGTCTACGTGCAGATATCTCTGCTGTGGGTATCAGCTGATACCAAGTACCAGTCTTATACCAGTGTTCACTAACTAAACTGTATGCAGTCAGTGTGTGAAAGTAAACGATGCACATTGTTTTCTGTAGGTGAAATGTCACAACTTTGCAGATAATGCAAGAAGCGATGACTTCTGTGTAGCAAGTGTAAACAAACCTCCTAACAGCTGACACGCCATCTTCTTGTGAGCAAACCATTGGTTCCCAAAGTTGGGAAACCATAATGAAGTACACATATATCTATGTACGTAAACAGGGAATTGAATAGTACCAATAGTAACAGCACCGGATTGGCCTGACACGGCTATCCTATCCCATGAAGTGATTTTATTCATGAAACTATTTGTTATTAAGAGTTAAAGCATGATTTTCTGGGGGGGAAACAATAACATGAACCCCCCCGAGCAATGTTTTCTACAATTATGTAAACATCTTTCATGTTGGCACACATAAGAAAACACATGTAATACCAATATATGTGTAAAAGGCCCATGTCTACACAATAATATAGGATAGAATCTAATGTACAGGAGAGTAAACTTAAAGATTTTTGTGAATACTTTAACCAAACTGTATCTTTGCCCTTTAGAAATGTTCCGCTGTTGCACAAAAGGAAATCTTATATGATATGTAAACGATCATTTTCTACTCACCTTGTGCTGCCAAACCTGCAGTATTTATTATAATGGATTTAAAACTAAGAAACTTAAAGGAGCTAGAAGTACTCAGAGCTCCTCTAAGCACAACCAAAGTGTCTCTGACTTGAATTTGAGAAGATGGGTTGTACAGCGTGTCATTGAGCGGTCTCAGGCGAACACCACTAACAGTAGCACTAGTGTGACACGTGGGAGAAATTTTTCTTTTAACCACTTTGCTGTCTCGGACGCCTTTTTTTAGGGTTATGAATTCACATTGTGCCTTATCCGTCTTGACAAACAAGCGTTTAAATGCGTGAGAAAAAAACCCGTCTGATACTATAATTAACCACTCATACATCCTATTCAGGCCTCTGTGTCTGCTGTCGCCATTTTCATCTTTTTACAGTCTGGTAAAAATGGGAAATAGACAGTAACTGACTTCAAATGGAAGAGATGATGTAATAAAGTAAGGTGCTGGATAAGGGCTTTAATCTGTTCAATGGATGCTGGTTGTAATGGGACCACTCGTCTTTTTTGTTTACATTATTTTAACAAAACTGGTTTCTCATTGTGTGGGTTCCATATTTTTTTTTAATAAATGCATTTTTCATAACGGCACTCTTTTGATTGTTTTTCTTGAACATACATTATCCTCCTTTTCAACAACTTTATATACAGTAAGTCTCAGATATCCCCACATGTACATAATCAGACACTATTTAATAAAAGCATCTTTAATTGTTTTTTTTTTTTACAAAATCTTCTGTACAGTTTATTTATTACACACAAAGCAGGTTATTTACAACAAAGTTGCACATTTTCCTTTCATTTTAGAGAGATTCAAAACTGTTAAGCCTTTATATCACATCAAATACTGCACTGTTAACAGTCCAGTCAGATGATTCTTATAAATATACTATGAACATTTTTAAATTCTGTTCATCATGGCTTCTTTCACTGTCCTCGCTGATGAGAGCAACCTGGACTGTGACTGGAAACCACATTACATCATGTTAAAGACGCACCGACTGTCATGTCTTTGGTTGTACTGATTTTTTTAAAGGTGTGACCTGCCGATTCCGAATTTTCTTTCTTTAATTGACAGTGAAAAATAAAAAACTATTTGTACTATTGTATATTCAGAATAAAACTGACTGTTAATAAAACCAATTAGGATGTTTAATGAAAAGAACTGCACCGGGTTCATGACCATCTCACATTCTCATGCAAAGTAACTCTTCAGCTGCATACTCCCTGACTCCTGAAGGAATGAGGAGTCACCCCTCAAGTCACGACAGTTTGCGGCTATTTCATTTGGCTATTGCCTGCTGTCTCTTCGGTCTTTCCTTCTGCCTTTTTTTTTTTTTTAAACACTAAGCTTCTCATTATCGCTTTTAGCTTTTCTTTGTTCTTAAGCTCTCTTCCTGTTATCTCTTTTCCTACCCTGCTCTTTACGTGGGTGCGTGTTGTATTCTCCAAAGAAAGAGGAAAAACAATCTCTCAATTGCAACTCCAAAGGAAAACTTTGCCTTGGGAGATGTAAACATAGACTCATTGGTCTGCTGGCCATAAAACTTTTGGTCTGATTTACAAGGAATCCAACAGAAACAGAGGCATTCAGAAAATCTTTTGGTGGATGTTTGGTTTGCAACTTCAGTTAATATAGACATCAGTATATAATTGAGATTGTGTCATATTCAGTAAACGAAAAAGTGTTTGTACCATTACACCTTATGAGTCTCAAAGACCCTACCTGACATTTTCTATAAGCAACTTTTACACTTTAAATGCCCGAGAAATTCAAGTAAGTGCCCAAAAAAGTCTGACCACAGGTTTTTGCAACCGGGGCTGAATAGCAGCAGTTGCATGCTCATGTGTCCTTTTTACCCTCTTCTTGTGGAAGAGCCTGAGGCGTGGATCTATGAAGCACCAGCAGTCCACACAGAGTGAGAGAGATGCCTACCCACCATAGAGCTGCATGGGTCTCTCCAAAAATCAGCCTCCCCAGGACGGCCTGGAAACACAAAAAAAAAAACTCATGTAAAAAACAAAAACATAAAAGTGAGGTGAATGTAAGAGTCCCTCGAGAGCTTACTGAGGAGATGAAGTTGGATGCAGTGGTAGTGACTGTGGCCCTGGCTGAAGAGGAGCAGTGCCGGAGAGCTTTGGAGAAAAAGGTCCACATGACAGTATTACAGGTGAACAGCAGCCCAGCACACAGCAGCCGCAGAGGGATGTGAAGCTGGAAAACACACACACACACACAGAGGACATTATGAGAAGGTAAGCAGTCCTGCATGTTAGCTTTGGGTAGATGAGTGCTGGAGACTGAATATGCTGCAGCATACAATTCAGATTTTTAACTTGACTTTTGAAGTCCTTAATGAGCAGAGGTGTTGTGTATGAAAACATGTGTGTAGGTTTTTTGAAAATGTTTTTGTTCAAGCTTTCCCCCCCGCATACATCAGATTGATTAAACTGTGTACTTGTTTGCAGCTGTTGTATGATGACATTGTTACCACATAAATGATGTGTAAATGCCATATATTTAACAAAAAACTATCTTAACCAGTGGGAGAAAAACATATACAACTAATATAGTTAGTAGCCTACTTGACTTTAAAAATTGAGGTTATGAATAACAACATTTTTTTCTGATGTAAAAAAAAACAACAACCTATCAAGCTTTTTCTGCATTGTTCCTTTAAAACAGCCCATTTACTAAACACCTTCTAAAAAGAAACGTTAAGAGAAGTGATGATTTGTCACAAGACACAACATGTTAAATGGATAACAAAAAATATCATCAAAGTTCAACAATGAGGAGTGAATCAAAACATGCAGGCCTACCCAGGCAATGCAACACACAGCATCATAAATGATCACCTCTCAGGTTCAGGAATGGTTTTGAACATAAAAGATTTCCTACAGTCAGTTACTTAAAAAAACAAACAACAGAAAATAACTCATGTCTATTTTTGTATTTATTGAATAATGTGTAAAACATAAATACTGGTGCGGTGGGTTCAACGCGTTTAGACATTTATCCAAACTCCAGGTTGAAAGCAGAAACATTGACAACGTTATGGAGAGAAACGCGGAAACAGAGACAAACAGAGATACATGTTGTTGATGTTGTTGTTGTTGTTGTTGTTGTTGTTGTTGTTGTTGTTTGAGTTCATCTCACCCAGTCACAAACTGCAGTCTGTCCAGGTGATCCAGTCCGGCTGAGTCCGGCCTCACACATGTCGCTCAGGTAGTGTGCGCCAAATGACAGCTTGGCAGTCAAAGAAGCTGCAGCACCCATAAACCCCGCCAACAACGCGTAAAGAGACCCTGATAACATGGCTGGAACTGTGAAACTAACTAATGAAAGAAACCCGAAACCACCCTGACAACAGTAGGCTATTACATCTTCCTCTTTATGCTGTTTTGTCGGTTGGCACTCAGCTGTCAGACGCATTATTGCCACCTACTGGGTTGGAGTGTGGTCCAATTTCTTCATCAGTTAATTAACAGCCAACAAAACATGCGTCATCCAATAAACATGATGAACATGCTTAGGGGGGAGCGTGTTAATTTGTAGCGTATCATTTAAATAGTCAATTATCTTATTGTCATTCTATACTCTGTCTCTGTAAATTTCCTCATTGATGCAGCTCTATTATATATCTATATATTATTATATATATAATATTTAAGTATAAATTATTATTATTAATTATTAACTGCCTTAGATTCAATAATAATAATTTAAAAAAATAATTACGCCCGCAAAAAAAAATCTCAAAATCGATTAATTAATTTGCTGGTGATGTATATCAATGGTTGGCAACATTAACTACAGGTGGGATTATTACGGTGGCCCTGAAGTGCAAAACACAACAACAAATAAGAAAACACGACAACAAATAAGAAAACACGACAAAAAATAAGAAAACACAACAACAAATAAGAAAACACAACGACAAATAAGAAAACACAACGACAAATAAGAAAACACAACGACAAATAAGAAAACACAACAACAAATAAGAAAACACAACGACAAATAAGAAAACACAACAACAAATAAGAAAACACAACGACAAATAAGAAAACACAACAACAAATAAGAAAACACAACGACAAATAAGAAAACACAACAACATTAACTTTAACGGAAAAGGTATGTACCTGCAGTCGACAAGGATCGTTGCTGATTGGACGAACGCAATGTCCGGAAGCAGGCTGTGTGTGTTTTTAATTTGTTGTTGTGTTTTCTTATTTGTTGTTGTGTTTTCTGATTTGTTGTTGTGTTTTCTTATTTGTTGTTGTGTTTTGTGATTTGTTGTTGTGTTTTGTGATTTGTTGTTGTGTTTTTTGATTTGTTGTTTTTGTGATTTGTTGTTGTGTTTTCTTATTTGTTGTTGTGTTTTCTTATTTGTTGTTGTGTTTTTTGATTTGTTGTTGTGTTTTTTGATTTGTTGTTTTTTGATTTGTTGTTGTGTTTTCTGATTTGTTGTTGTGTTTTCTTATTTGTTGTTGTGTTTTCTTATTTGTTGTTGTGTTTTGTGATTTGTTGTTGTGTTTTTTGATTTGTTGTTTTTTTGATTTGTTGTTGTGTTTTCTTATTTGTTGTTGTGTTTTCTTATTTGTTGTTGTGTTTTCTGATTTGTTGTTGTGTTTTCTGATTTGTTGTTGTGTTTTTTTAATTTTATTTGTTGTTGTGTTTTCTTATTTGTTGTTGTTGTGCACTTTAGGGCCACCGTAGATTTATAGATCATTATAACTTCACAAACGCAAACTTTACCCTTTTATTTATTTTTTTTCTAGTCTATAATTTACCCTTACAATTCTGACATCCACCAGTAGATGGCGGTAAGGCAAAGATAGTGGCTTGAAACCTTCATAAACCCAACAGACGAAGAAGAAGACTTCAGCCAATTGTGATCGCCTCTCAGGTCATGTGACTTGCAAAGCGGCACGCAGCTTGTGTTTTGGTGTTGCTTGATATCTGTGTGGGCCTTGTAATTCATTTGTTTGTGCTGTGAACTCCTTCTGCGATGAACAAAAGCAAAGCCAGCGGCGTGTCGTGGGTAAAACCAGCGGAACCGTCTTTTCTGAAGAAGTTTAAAAGTGATGTTGGTTATAAAGAAGGACCGACTGTGGACACGAAGGTTCGTATTCTGTGAAGTGGCTAATATGGCTATTTGTGTTAGCTGAGAGCCAGACCTGTTCCCTCATTTAAATTAAATAAATATTGGCGTAAGCTAGCCGTTTTTATTTTTTAAATTTGTTTATAGAGTTTTTAACAGACAGGTGTTACAGAAACAAGAACTAACCTCTTTGTGTTATTAGACTCCGATCCTTTCATTTAAAGTACACAAACCTGCTCCTCCCACTCACATCTCATTTATCTCTTTAAACACTTTTATAATTGTCTTTTTACTCTACATCCCCTTTTATAAGAATTATTTTTGGGTTTCCATATTCCAAATTTAAATCTGTATTTTTTAAATTTATTTAATTTATTTTATATATCTGAGTCTGTAATGTAGTTTTTGAAAAGTCAAAATGTAGACGTGAAATCGGACATCCCTTCACCCCCCCCCCCCCCCCCCCAGATAAAAATAAACTAATAGGACTTATTTTGCAATCCTAACATTGCCATTTCTAAAATCCATTTAAGGTTTGGGACACTACTGCATCATATTCTGTGATAGTTATTTTGATATCATCATCTTAGAAGGGGATTGACTGTAGTGTAAGTTTGGCTCTTGGTTGGTTCTTAGGGGCCAGTTTGTTCTCATGTTAATTAGAAATACACATCAGTGATCGTATTTCAAGATTTGTATGCACTAGAGGGGTGTCCATTAAAGGCTTTATGTGCAATTTTCCACACTTAAATATAATATAAATCAAGAATATCCTCTGAAAATAACTCTGTGAGTCATGACTGTCTACAATGAGTGTAACACCCGAGTCCCACTGTCTGTGATGTTTTCAGAGTCCTATCTTCACTTTGTTTACATCGCCGGGACGGCCGGCTGACTCCTCCCCTCGTGTATAAAAGTTGTTTAATTGAGGGACTAGAGAAAAGAAGAATAACATACTGTACTCACTGCTTAACTGTGTTTCTAGATCACGCTCATTTCAGGTCAATTTACATGCAGTGTGAAGATACGAGCATAATAAAGATCGCTAGCATTAGCATGCTAACACAACAATGCACTTTGGTTTCATGCTGTTGCTCAAGGGCGACATCTGCTGGATCAAAAAAATCACATATAAAGCCTTTAATGTTGAAGAAATGCATGTTATGATTTTAAATAACTGAACCAAACGTTTCTTAAAAACTATGCAATATATTTAAGTCCACTAATAACATGAATTTATTAGGGACTGACCGATACTGATACTGAGGAGAGAAAAAAATCCTATACTAATATGTTGGCTGAAATATTTCTCAGACTGTTTTTTAATCTTGATAGATAGATATACACATTTATTGTGTTGATCCCTCAAAAGCAGTTATCATACACTTATGGAAAAGATATGTAATGAAGAAACCTCACTTAACTGGAAAGTAACTGTGCATGTACGTGCATCACTGCTTGACACTCAGGAGAGTGATGACACTTGTTGTAGTCCATATAGCACACTGCTGGTACAATGATACTCAAATAAAATGCTAATTGTCTGCTGAATAAATCTCGTTATATCAGTGCGTATCAGATAAAATGAGACGAGACCGATAGTCACTTGATTAGCTTTTATCGGCCGATATTATCTGCTGGCCGATTAAGAGGTCGGGCTCTAGTATTCATACCTACCACCGGGTTTGGTGGTTGATTGATTATTATAGTGTTATGAAAACATAGGTGAAAGTATTTAAAGAGTGAAAAAAAACCCTCTGTTTCTCCCCATCAGCGGCAGACAATGCCAACATTGGATGATGACAGCGGAAGTGATCGGGACGATGAGTTACCTCAGGTTGTAGTCCTGAAAGGTGGAGACCTGACTGCAGATGATGTAAAGAAAATCAAGGGTGAAATCCGCACAGGAGGTGGAGCAGATAAAGGTAAAGCCGAGTCTGCGTATTAATCCATACGCCAATAATATTTGGTATGCCAGGTTTGTTTTTTTCACATGTTCATCAAATGTTGCATGCCAAAAATACCAGGATATCCTTTTACACCTTGTCCTCTTTGCAGTTTGCAAGCATGCATGCCTTCCTCAACAATGTTAAACTGTGACAGGTGGATGAGGAGGCCAGTTAATGTTCAAGGTGGACTATAAAAAAAACATGTACCAATTGTATGCATATTGCATGAAAAGTGCAGACTTTGAAGGGCAAATGCAATATGTCCTACAGCAAAATGGAAAAGTGTGTGGCCCTATTTTAATTATGGCCTGACTGATATCTATATTGTGGAGAAATACATTTGATACCGATATATCTGATATCTTTCTTAGATCTATAGTCGAGCCGTAGAGACAGATATAGGTATACACATTTATTGCGTTGACCCCTCAAGTGCAGTTATCAAACACTTGTGGAAAACAGAGTATAAGAAAGACAAGATGGTCTCTAATGGGAAAGTAACTTCACATGTGTGCATCACTGTTTGACACTCTGAAGGGTGATAATCCATATAGCACGCTCTGCTGGTGAAAGTGAACTGTTTTAATACAATGAAACTCAAATGAACTACTATTTGACTGAGGAATATCTCAACACATATCTGCGATTAAAATTTGCAGATACCAATAGTCACCGGATATGCTAATATCGGCTGATCTTATTGGCTGGTCGATTAATCGGTGTGACTCTAGTTTGAATTGTGCTATTGCATAGACTGCCAAGAAGTGTGTTTTAATGGTTCACACATTTTATTTTTCCACAGATGATAAACCGCCTCCTGATGGTAAAATTCTGTTTAAGAAACCAGCCAAGCGCTCCTCCTCTGACAAATTCCAGGGCATCACTGCCAGCTCCAGCAAGAAGAAGAAGAAGAGTGATGGAGAAGAGAAGGAGGCGGAGGTGGAAGAGGAGGAGGAAAAGGAAAAGGAGAAGGAGAAGGAGAAGGAGAAGGAGAAGAAGGAGGTGAAGTCTGGAAAAAAAGTAAAAAATAACAGCCTCCTGTCCTTCGGGGGAGATGAGGAGGAAGAGGAGGATTAAACGTTACTGATAAGACTCATAAACCTCTGTAAAAGAGAGAAATCAAAGTGAACATTAACGATAAAATGTTTCATGTTAATGACAGACAAGAACAGACATGTATAGCAGAAGATTGTCTGGAGTTCATCCCGTTGTGAAGCGCCTCCATTCTGTAGTTCATTTTCAAGGACAATGCGAGTAGTTTTGCATCTGTTAGACCATCGACGACAACGAGTCTTTACTGTGTATAACTGATGACTGTCTGTGAGTTTACTTTTACAGTGAAATGAAACCT